CCAAGTAATTGCAGCAAGCTTTGTATATGCAAACTTTGTACATACAAAAAAATTGTAGGGATGCACCAAAAATTCTGGGCCGAAACCAAAAATTCTGGATGCACTTGGCCGAAACTGCTTTAATAACAATAATATATTATAATGTAATTAAATAATATAAAAAGTAACTGATTCTTTAATCAAATTCTTTTTTTTTTTATGTTTTAATTTACCTCAATAATTTTAATGATACTGAACAAGCCAATAAAATAACATTAGCATATATTTTTGGCCGTTTTTCTCTTTCAGACAAAAACGAAAATGGCATTTTTGGCTGATAATTTTCGGTGGCCAAAATTTCGGTGCATCCCTACTAAATTGTATTGAAAATTGGTCAAAAATCTGTGGAATGTATTTAAACGTGTTAATGTTAAAAAATACTCCACCGTAATATGAAAATGATTTTCAATCATTAAGAGGTTTTGACAAATATTGGCAACCAAACAACACTAACTGACACTGACTTCTACTGTATGTTTTAAAAAAAAAAATTCTCAAGATAAACAGTTTTGAAAAGGCATGATAATTTTAATTTTTAAGTAGAATATCCCTTTAAAAGAAGCTGGCGTTAAATAATTTCTACACGACTTCCCTGGCCAAATTATGGTGTGTGATGCACTCAAGACTGAAAAAACACTGGAGAAAATGTTTCATTCTGATGTGACTGAACATGATTTACAGCAAAACGGAACAAATCTGAAATCAATCTTCGTTTAATTTACAAGTTAACATGCCCCTTCATAAACAACGAACAGTCAAATTAAAAACAAAAATAGTCTAGCTGAGCAGTTTAGTTCACAGGTATGTGAGGGAGGCTGGAGAGGACAGTCGGGGAGGCTTTTGACGTTGCCATTACCAAACATGACAAGCGACGAACACAATGACTGATCCAGCCGTTCCCACAAGCCTCCAAGGTTAGAGAATAGATTAGCAGCAGAAAACACATGTTGGAAGCAAAGTTTCCCACCCTTTGAATCCGCTCTCAAGGGAAGACAAAGCACTCTGGATGACTTGGAAACATTTCTGAAGGTCTGCATCTAAGTCCGTAGTTGGCAGAGAAAAGTCATAATTTGAATGTTAACTTTTACTAATTTTAACTGGAGGGAGATCATTTTAACCTGTATTTATTGTAGGCTATACAGTCCAAGAGGTTTTGCTAAGTGAACCTGATCAAGCATTAAGTCGCATAGCATTTTCACAACAACCATTGCACAATTTTTCAAACAGTGGAGGGAGATGCACATTCAGGCCAGGGTTTGTTAAATTACATACTTATAATGATTCTGTGGATCTGAGATGTTAAAACTGATTCAAAAAGAACTCAATGGAAATAAATCTCTCTAGGACAAAGGATAATGCCCGTTTGCTAATACAACAAGCTTGCATTATCCATTTCAACAACACCTTTCACCAGGAAATGCACTTATGCGATCATGCCCTTTTCAAGTTTGTTTAGAAACTCGCCTCAAAATAAAGCTGCATATTCGATGGCAAATAATGAGAACCTACTAGACTTCTACATTACTGCTACATGATGTTCTAAATATTAAAAATAGCTGTGGTGTATCTTAGGAATGGACGATTTATAGAATAGTTACAAATATTGATGTGCGATTATGTTAATCAAGTTATTAAATATTATATATATTTATATAGATAGCACAATGATTCTGCACTTTGACTGATTGTGGTCCTTAACAACTACTTTGAGATTCCTGTGAAAATTGTGAGTTGCAGTGCAAATTCGACGAATCCGATTTATATATAAATAAGTGACTACAATTCTTGAAACTGATTAAAATTATTAAATTTATGGACTGTTATTGTTTTGCATTGGCATTTAAAATTGTAAGTGCATTAATGTCTGTTCAGGCCAAAATATGGATGCTCTAAGAAACTTTAAGAAGACATTTTTTTAAATATGGTAACACTTTACAATAAGGTCCTATTAGTTAAAGTTAGTTAATACGTTGAATGAAATTAACAATGAGCAATTTATTTGTTCGAATATTTATTAATCTTCAATAAAAAAAAAAATAGTTGTTATGTTAGGTACATCACATTAACGAATGCAACTTTTGGATTTTATGTAAATGTTAAAATCAACATTAACAAATGAAAAATGATTTTTCATTGTTCGCTCATGTTAACAAATGTAGTTAACTAATGTTAATAAATGGGACTTTATTATAAGTGCTACTAAAAATCTATTATAAAATTCAGGTTCAATATATATTAAGCTCAATCATTATTAGAATAAAAAAGGTATATTTCTATTAAACGCAAAAATGTAAAGGTTTTTTTTTTTACAAGCTCCTACTGTACATCAATACTTTTGTAAACTTAAAAATGCTTTAAAGCCATTCCATAGCAAATAAATATATTTCTCTCAAATATCGCCAAACGGCTGAAAAACAGATTGAATGTATTAGACATATCACCCAACCCTCGTGTATCTGTACCATATTGGTTTCAAACTATTGATATGTTGTGGCTCGGGCACACGACCCATCCTCTATCATCCTCTCCTCTTAGCATTTCCCTAAAATAGCAGCGCTGATATTCCACCATTTGTCATGAGAAATGGAATAAAAGCAGCCTGATGGTTGATATCACAGACATTCATACAGCATGAGAAGCCTCTGTGAGCTCAGAATGGAGGTGATGTGGAGCTGCACAGAATGACCTTAACTCAAGTCAAGACAGATGGAGCAGAAATCACTTAGAAACAAAGGGAAGTAATGCTGATATTTCGCAGCGGTAGACGCAACTCAGCGTCATGCCTTCACCTTCACTCATGAAGCAACACACGCAATGATACGGCTAAGGTCACTTCTAAAATTAAATAAAAACCTTTCTGATTCATTAGAGGACTTGCTTTATCATTAGATGAAGACTTAAATGAACAAAAAGTCCATTGGCTTGCAATTCTACACATCTTAAAGGAAGTCAATACTTACTCATCCTCATGTTGTTCCAAAAGTAAAAACACGTAATGAAAAATACATAAAGCAAAAATGCACGCATAATTGTGGAAATTAAATGTATTTACATTACATACTACTTACCGGTGTTGGGGGTAACACATTGCAAGTAATGCGAGTTACATAATTAGATTACATTTTTCAAGTAACTAGTAAAGTAACGCATTACTTTTAAATATCAAATACGTTACTTTGTTTTCCAATTTATTCACTGGTGCAGAGGCACTTCCTTTGGCCTGAAGCTTATTAATTTCACTTTTGGTGTGAAAGTTGCCAAAAATGTAACATTTGGGGGTTTTTTTGTTAGTTAAAACAAATAAGCAGCCCAGCCAATGTGACAAAAAGTAATGCAAAAGTAACGCAATGCAATACTTTCCATAAAAAGTAACTAAGTAACGCAAATAGTTACTTTTTAAATCGAGTAACACAATATCATAATGCATTACTTTTAAAAGTAACTTTCACCAACAATGCTACTTACTAAATTACATAATTTAAAAATGGAAAAAAATAAAATTTTACATAATTTTAAATAAAGTGATTTATTTAGATTTAGTTGATTCTGCAATTCTATTATAGTATTTTTTACAAAGTAACTGTTACTTGAAATAATTGTTTCAAATAAAGTTAAGTTCACATACACCACAAGTAACTAAGTAACGCAAATAGTTACTTTTTAAATCGAGTAACACAATATCATAATGCATTACTTTTAAAAGTAACTTTCACCAACAATGCTACTTACTAAATTACATAATTTAAAAATGGAAAAAAATAAAATTTTACATAATTTTAAATAAAGTGATTTATTTAGATTTAGTTGATTCTGCAATTCTATTATAGTATCTTTTACAAAGTAACTGTTACTTGAAATAATTTTCAAATAAAGTTAAGTTCACATACACCACACAGCAAATATGACATTAACACGACATAGCAGCAAAGTATGCCGTTTACTTTGCTCTGTGTAAGTATAATTTATTAGGGGCCGTTTACTCGACAGTGTTTTCAGCCAAAAATGTGAAACTTTTTATGCGTTTTGCCTGTTCGTTTACACGACGACGGCGTTTTGAGGACTGAAAACGCATATTTTTGAAAACGGGTTTCAAAGTGCAAGTTTTTCAAAACAACCAAAACGGGAATCTTTGAAAACGGCGACATCATGTGCGTGCATAGTGCGTGTTAGGTATGTAGACATGTGCAGTACGGCAAGCGCGAACAAACATACACAACAATGGCGGAGTACATGTTACTGTTGTTGCTGTTTAAGAGCTTTCTAACGCTTCTTCAGCAAAGTGTGGATTTACTTCACCAATATTACAACCAACAGCGGAGACGCATCATATAATCGTCGCGTACGTAATACAGTCAGCAAAGTGTGGATTTACTTCACCAATATTACAACCAACAGCGGGGACGCATCATATAATCGTCGCGTACGTAATACAGCGTTTTTGGCCGTTTTCGCTGATATGTGTAAACACTAATCGTTTTAAAAACTTTGTCGTGTATACGTAAAACTTTTTAAAAACACAAGGGGAAAATTTTTCCGTTTTTGACTACATTGTTGCCGTGTAAACGTAGCCTTAGTCAGAACTGTTAAACAGAGACCGTAAAGTAATGAAGACAGAGAACAGGAGCACCATGCTTTCAGCAGTTGGCGTTCACAGCAGTGTCAAAATAAAAGTCCTGCTTCCGACATAATAGCCAAAAAGAAAATAAATATTGGCCGATGCTGACAATTAAATGTCAAATTGGCAGCCTTGGCGACACATCGGTCGACCACTAATTCTTACGCAAACTCTAACAATACACCTGATTTTCTCTAAGAGCTAATTTCTTGAACAACAAGAGGATGAGTAAACAACAATTTTAATTCTTTCCCCCAAGTTTTCGATTTCAATGCGTTAAACTGACAAATTGAAGACGCCACTGATCTAAAAGCAGGAAAGCAGTGAGCTTTTCGTGTTGGCGTACCTGGGAATGGTGACACACTTGGTGTTGCAGTTCTGTGTGGTGATGGCTTTCTCCAGCTCGTCCAGCTGGCCCGTCTTCTTCAGCTTCTTCACCAGGCTTTTGACGGCCTTCTCGCACCATTTCTCCTCCTGGCTGTTCTGCTCTCCGCCCCCTCCCGCTCCGCTCGAACTGCTGGCCGACTTCTTCCAGCCCAGCAGACGCTTCACCACAGGCGGAGTGAAAGGCAAGATGGAGGACATGTTTCTGGGGTGTCCAATTAGCAGTCAGCCCCTTACTGGGCAGGTGGGAGTTAGAGAGACAGATGGAGGCTGGGAGAACGGGGAGGAACAGACCCAACGTTCCTAACTGGCCTTTAGGAAGAGGGTCTCTGGGCTGATTATGAGGGGCAGGGGACAGAGAAGCTTAGGAAACAGGAGAGGAAAGGGGGGCGAGGAGTTACCTGAGTGGAGAGAAGCACAGATCAAGAAGAGACCACGACAGACACTCCGTAAAATACAAACTTTATCTTGTTTCCTGTTGACTAATTTTAATTCATCTTTGTAGTATTTTTTAATCTGTTCTACAGCTGGGCTGGCAATTTCTTTTCACATTTGATTAATTGAATGCATCTTTTTTGAATAAAAGTATTCATTTCTTTCAATAATAATAATAAAAAAAAAAACATACTGACCCCAAATTTTTAAACAGTAGTGTAAATATTTATTTTAGTTAAATGTGCAGGGATAAAGACGCCATTTCTAGTGACCTGACATAGCAAAATTAGTGCAACCAATGCTGTTAGTTTGAGTCAGGAATGTCTGTTTGTTGACCAATGATAGATGGGTGAGTCTTTGGGAAACAAGTGTTAAAGCATCCTTATTTTTGCAATTTGTTCTGGTGACAATAGTAGAGCAGAAATCAGATTTCAGCTTTAAATAAAGGAGAGAGTTCAGTATAAATTGCTTTTCTTGTTTTGCCAAGAACTGCTTCTCTGGTATTGGTCTCAGCCACTTAGCTTTTGATAGTGACTCAACCCTATTCACCAAAAGAGGGATTTCTTTGAAACTATAATTTAATACAGAAGAAAAAGGTAATGCCGCAGAAGGCCATCTTTCAATTAAAAGGATTTATAATTTAATTTAAAAAGAGGTTCAACAAAATCTATGCAGAGAAACCAGGCGAATATAGCCATGTTGTGAACATAAGAAAAGGGGAAGTAAAACATCTTGATCACTTTGGTCATGCTTACAACATACTCTTACTCTGAGTGCCATTTCTTACAAAGGAATCGATGGGCCATGAGAAAAGATTGTTGTAAATACCTAGAAATGCTACTTGAAGCTTAAAATGAAGATGTTTGACAGCATGATCATGACTAGGGGTGTGCGATATATATCGTCTGCGATAATATCGTAATTGTTGTTTTAACGATGTGCGATTTGACATTATCGAGTATTTTGCAAAAACCATTCAAAACATCCCTACAGAGCGCACGCATACATTACGTGAAGTCTAGACTAGTCCGGGTGCGCATTTAGTGTGTTTTCTTTCACTGCATGATTCAGTCTATTAAAATGCATTTAGAATGATCACAAATTCAAGACATGA